GATTTTTTCTGCTTCAGAACGGGAGTGCGACTATTACGAGAGTAAATACGGTATTTGCTTTTGTTTGAAATGAGTACTGTTTAATGTTTTTAATTACAGCATCTTACAAATATTTCATATTTTTAACGCTGCAATTTTATTAATATTTAGTTTTTTGGTTAAGTTTGGTTTATTTTATTATGGCAAAGCACACTAGAGCTATCTGCCTAAGGGGAGGAATGCCTTCGTAAAAAACATTCTTAGGGAAACTGGCTCTTATACACTTTACACATGGAGTAAATCTCGAAAACGACCATACAGCCAGGCCTTTCGCGTGTTTCGAGCCTCGGACAGAACAGCTAGTGACTTTAAGCTGAATCCAGGCGCCAAAACAATAGAATCGCTGAACACTGGTAATTTGATCAGGGTGAACATCCCAGCGAATGGGCTAGATGCATGACTTTCACCACAGGGAACGAAATCCGAGCAAATTTTCTTTAGAAAGTTTTCCATTAAGTCATCTCTCTTTCTCCTAAGCATATAGCTCTCGTATGCTTTGGTTTAGTCGATTTATAAAATAAAGACAGTATACTGTTAAGTGTCCAAACTATAGAACTCTAAGCGTTTTACAAAACTGCAATATTACCATACTTTTATTTTTTTTTACATACATCCACACTGATACCATTCACAAGTTATTAAATTTATTAAATACCAAATGTTAAACCTTTCCTTTTTTTTTAAAGTTCGTCCAAATATCTGGCCGACGTTTTAATCATTCTCTCGCGTCTAGTTCTTTAATTCCCTGTCCCTTATTTGAGTTAGCGGAGTTTGATAGTTGACTTCTAAACATTGCTTTTTAGAATATGTGGGATCATAATTTTGTACATCTGCTGTCTGTGTAGTAACTTCTCGTTCTGTGCCTTTCATATTCTGTTCAAAGGCTGAACTGTTTCCTCTAGTGACCCTAAAGTCGTTTCTATTTATACTAAATACTACTTCTCCTGATCTTAATATATATTTTGGAGTCTTGTATACTTCCTCTAAAACTGCTTATTTCCCGTCATTATTTTGATATACCCTAACATAATCTCCTTTACGTAACAATAATGTTGAGACTTTGAGGATTTTGATGGCTCGCAAAATGCGTATGAACACCACATGGAAATGAAATTGTACTCCTTCACTGTAGCTAATAAACTTGAGTTTACATGGAGCTCTCGTTATTAAGCTTTATAATTTTCATCGTCACCATATTACCTGCCGTTAAGAACAATTTCCTCCAACTTAACGTTACTCTTGACGGCCTTTTTCGTTCTCATCAGCTCCGTCACTGCTGTTTCTGCATTCAGCTGCTGGCTCGGTTCTACACATCCATATGTGAGTAAAATCTCATGAAGTTACTACTTATAATATAACAGATAATAATATTTTTGTAGGATGATTATACTATGGCTTCTGCTTAATCTTAACAAGTTATCGCTTTAGGTTAAAATATTTTCTTTTGGTACTTGCATATTGTATTTGAGTATTAAAATAAAAAAACACTTAAATATAGCTTAGCACGCTATATTTTGTCCTTTAAAAAATGATCAAAATTATTTATATGTTGTTCACAAAATATCTTTATGTCGTTTTTAATTTAAGCACACAGTAAACTTTTCGGTGTTCACAACCACCTAGCTTTCGTCAGTAGTAATAATGATTCATATTTAGACTCTATATCCTGGCATAACTGACTAACTGGTAGACTTTAAAGGCCTTGAGTGGTCTTGATTTTATATAATTAATTATTTTAACGCATTATTCCAGTACTCAGGTGTGATGGTAATTGTTTGTAATGAGTGTTTTCGGAAGTGAAAAAACACTGGGTAGTTAATATATCTGCATTATGTTCCCTTACATGCCCTAAAAATCGTTTTATAGATCCAGTCATAGACGGAGCACAATCTTTGCCAATGCTGGTGCAAAATTTCCACGAAATGTCTTTTAATTATGAATTAATTTCGTCGAAAACATGCTTTCCTATTCTGAACTCAGATAATTCAAAACAACATAAATATTGATTATCATTTTCATGAATGAATCGACCGAATGCAGTTAACTATGTTTCGTTAGTAATATCAGTTATTTTGCTGATTTATGGAGCAAAATTGAAATTTGCAAGAGCTTTAACAGTATTATCTCCAATATTTCGGGACAAGTCTGTAACTTTGCGATGAATTGTATCATTTGAAAGCGGTATTTTCAAGTATCATTTTCTGCCAATTTACTAATAATTATTTTTACAATTTTACGATAAGCAGGTAATATAATTTCTTCAAACAAATTATGAGGTTTTAACTTAAGAGCAATCAATTCAGCTACTTCATAATAATCTATATGAGCTTTTTCAGGTATATATAACTGGTTTGGCAGTACCTTCACTTATTTGGATGATAATGATTTCAGGAAAGGGCTTTTGTCTTTTGATGTAAGCGGAAGGATGATCAGTGAGCAAGTGACGTTAGAGCGTGCCGGAACTACAACACTGTCTGACAATTTACAGACACATACAACTCACTCAGGAACAGTTTGATAATTTTCCGTTGCAAATGTAAATCCATATTTTAAGAAGTTGTCATTATACTTACGAAAAACATTACATTTTTTTGGTGGCGGAAACATCTTTACTTGTAATGCGCTAGAGCGCGGTAAGCCTGATCGCTGACATCATCATTTTCGTCGATAAGTTTTCTTTTTCTTTTTAATCCATATATCTGTTTCAAAAGATTCTTTTAAATTAAAAATAATATCACTTTCTCATTTAATTATTAAAAACGATCTATTGTATATTAAGTTTGAATTCGTTTTACTTAAATTTGACAATACAATAATGTGGTATTGGTACATGAGAAAAAGAATATTTAAGTTGTAACTTAAACTTATGAGCATATCAAGCGTGCGATTATTGATTGACTATAACAAGAACAGCTCTCGATATACTATAGTCTTTTGATATAAAAACGAGCCCTAACCCATTTCACATTACCATTTAGAATAGAAAAACAATGAGAGGGGGATATATCTGCCTCTTACTTCTGTACGTACACCATACATTTTGGATTTTCTTCTAGATGCATAATGTTCTCTGACACGACCGATATAACTTTCTTTGGTTAAATTCAAAACTGTAGTCGTCATGTATATTTCAAATTTGCTGTTTTGGTTTCCGCCGGACGAGTTAGTCCCTTCCCCTAAGAAATTAGAGCAGGTTAAATTACTTTTTTAACCTCGCTTATGTGTGTGTTTTCGCAGTGCCTTCTCGTGACATTAAAGTGATGAAAATCATATAGCAAAATCATCTAGCAATACCTATAAGCAAGAGATTTTGTACTGCATGAGAACAGCCGCACTATATATAAGTACATACAAAATAATTTTTGAGTGCATGCATTCGTAAAATTTGATTGCACGCTTCAAGAATATTGAAGCACACTGTACCATTGAGAATCACTGTACCATGCCAAACTACACATATACATGTATATGCTGTGTGTATGTATGTGTGTGCGTGTGTGTTACTGGCAAAGTATGAGGTCCGGCATTCTGTAGAATACCAAGGTATTTTATAGAATGCCGAAAATTGGTATATGAAAGATTAAATATTTCAACATTTCCTATAGAATGCCAAATGACAAGACGGAAAAGTATGAGCTCCATTTGCACACATCTTGGAAATGCCTCTCCAATACAAATTCCTCTCTGGTCAGCTGCAATTTCTCAGTGTAGTGGAAACGCCCGAGAATTCGTGAAGATGATGTGTAAAACAAAGTGTGAAAATATGAAATGTCTTTGCTTGAAAAAAATGATGAAGTATAATTCAAAATGACGTTCAAACCTACTGTGTTGCAACAAGTAAATCAAATTAAAATGAAAAGTTTACATTTTTTATAATTTCTTTTTTAACGTGTGCATTTTTGTAAAATTCATTTAATGACCATGTTTTACCTTTTACAAGAAATAAAATTACATGAAATTTAAAATAAAATTACTTATTTTCATGGTGGAAAAATTAGGGTCACATTAAATTTTGTGCATTTTACTACGAAAGGCTTAAATTTTGTTTTGTGTAACTAGAGTTTCTTTTATAATTTTGAATAAAAGATTTTAGTGGAAGCGTTTCATTACTTTTCCAAAATAGCATTTGTATTATGTATGAGTGAATGTCTTTTAAATAACATCCTTATCAAGATTTTTTATTCATACTTCGCCTAATGAGCATTTATCGTTCCGTAGAATGCTTAGGTATTACATACAATGTATATACCTAAAGTATAGAATTCTTTTCATATTTCATACTTTGCAGAAAACGTCGGGCGTTCCATAACATATGTATATGATTAGATTAAAATATATAGATTAAAAATTAAAAATTAACTTCAGAAATTAAAATCAGGCTCTCCTTCTCGTTGTATTTTAATTATGTGATAAATGCTTTAATAGCTAAATTTCGATTTTTTACCCTCTTAACACTGTAAAATTTATCTTTACCTGAGTACTCTCATAGACCATCTCTTAACTCAATGACCCAACATATAGGAAGCTCACATATCGATATTAATAGCTTCGCAAAGCAAGATAGAGTTCAATTTTTCCTACTGATTGTTCATACTGCATTTCCGAAGCTGGCTAATATATCAAGCTATATGAAACGACATATACGAAACAAATGAAATATGAAATAACATTCGCAACTTGATTCTATAACAGCTTTCGATGTAAGAATAAATCTTCTAATATAAGTGATAATAGTACTATGCCAAAATAAAGAGAAAGCCTGATACTTAAAGCTTTGCTGAAGTTTTTAGCATCAAAATTTTGAAAGCACTTTTAGAAACTATGATCTTAAAAGAAAAAAGCTACATCAAGCAATCTTCGAAACGCAATGAAGTTTTATAAGCTAAATTTTAGTTTAAACTAACTTTATTTAAATTTAAAGGAAATTTTGGAAATTCTAACTAAATAAAGGAAACGGAACATAACTAGAATGAATAATTTATTGTAAAATGATGAATAACTTAATTTAGGACATTTACAAAGAAACTCGTAGCATAAGATTTTTATAAGATTGCCTTGCCAAGTCCACCTCCAAGAGCCATTTTTCCAGCTCCCAGACCTAGAAGCCCATTGCCATAAGCAAGGAGGGCAGCAATTCCGTGGCCTACATTTCCGGCACCGAGAAGACCATTACCGATCATTCCATTTCCATAAGCGAGAGGAGCGACAGCAATTCCGCGTCCAACAAGACCCATTGGAGCAGCAGCTACAGCAACAGGGGCAGCAGCCAAGGCGACGGGAGCAGCAGCAATTCCGACAGGGGCGACGTGGTTGATGGCAGTTTTGGAGGAGGAGACTGCGGGAACAACAGCCTTTCCAACAACGGCTGGTGCAGCGACTAATCCATATCCAGCTCCATAACCATATCCAGCTCCCAATCCATATCCGGCACCATAACCATATCCAGCTCCCAAGCCATATCCGGCTCCATAACCATATCCAGCTCCCAAACCATATCCGGCTCCGATAAGACCACTAGCTTGTGCAGCTGCGACGGCAGCGAAAAGAACAAAGACCTAGATAAAGAACAAAAAAAGAGAAAAATTCTGTTAGTGATTAGCGTTATGATAGTGCATCGTCATTTTAAAGTTGTAAGAGATCTCTGTAGAAGAACAGTGTCTTTAAATTTTATCAGTGCAAAGATGTGTAATATCCAGGTTAGAATTTTTATTGAACTAAGGAAATATTAGAACTAAGGAACGTTTAAGAACTATTTAGCTAATGTTTGAGAGCTATGCCTACATGAATGACTTTCTAAGGTAAATTTTCATGCTTACATTTCGCATCGGGAGAAAACACTCTCATGCAGTGAACTATTTCAGTATTATGCTCTAGTATTATTATCATGTGCTTTTCTATGGAGAAACAGGTAGGCGAAGTTCTACAAACGAAACTCAGCATTATCTTCTGTATTCAATCAGCTTCGGGCTGCATACCTCTCTACTACAATCTTTTAGTGAGAAATTGCATAATTCACTTTAAATAGGCTGTCTAGCTACTGTTTAATTCTTATTTCTTTCTAGTATATTTTAAATAAAAATTACACTTTTCTATATTTTTCGATAACTTTACTGGCAACGCAAAGGGAATGAGAGATTAGATTGTTAAATTTTAAGCTCTCATTGTTATTATTTTTATAGTAGTTAATTTTAATTATATTAAGTAAAGCTTATTATCATTCTTTTGTATTACTTCTAACAAATATTTAAATAGGTAGCAATTTACTTTTAATTGAATATATGCAATTTAGTAAAACCAAATTTTAATCATGAGGTGAAATGCGATATATGTGCATGTTTTGCCAGGAATTTGGCTTTTAGTTCGAATTCCGGCGAGGGCAATGCACATTTTCACGTCTCGTACTTAAAAATAACCTAATATCTCTACGCTGGTAACCGAACTAAAAGACGGTGGACTATAATTCGGCATCATCGGTGGACTATAAACCCGTAAATGCTCCTTGAAAACTTTTTCATTTATTTACATTACAGCATCATATAAATATTACATTTCAGTATTAATAATGTGCACAAATGAGGATGCATTTGTATCTGTAAATATGTGAAAAGTAAATAGGTTCTCTTAATTTGAAATCGAAAAAATTAGTTTTATAGTGCAATCTAAAATTAATGCTAAGGAAGGGATTTGTAATTAAAATTCAAAGATAACAATAAATTGTTAGAACGTTTTACAGAACTTTCTCAAAATTTGCATACTTGTGAAAAAAATTGACTTCGAAAGTATTTCGAAAGTATTTCAGAATTTCTGATACTGTGAGTCTCAGAATTAGAGGACATACTTATAAAATATTTTTTTGAATTTCTTACACTCCATATTTATAAGCCGTACTTTTTAAACATACTTCAGTATCTAAAATTCACCAGTTTTCATTATTTATATTTTCAAATGCTTAACTACGTGATTTTATTATAATAATTTATATATGATAATTGGAATATAAATGTAGCGATATTTTTAGATTCTTATTTATTTTATTTGAGATGAATGGAAATGAAGCGTCTGAAGAAGGAATTCTGAATTTATTACGCTAGCATTGTTTTATGATAGCATTTTACTTATATATAAGACACGTTAAACAGAAAATATTTCACAATAGAATTATAAAAAGCACTGTAATAAGTACTTACTTTCTGATTTCAAATTATATTTCATTTCATTAAACCATTTACATCAGCTGATATATTGGTTATGAGACGCCAGCTCGAATATTTAACAGTGTACCTTTTCGTAAGTATTACTATAAATAATTTGTTAGTTTAAGTAATGTAGATAAGTAAGTTTCTATCAAATATAGATATGCAAAGAATACTACAATTCCGACTACAACTTAACAACATTTTATGCTACATATTTATTTCTACCTATACTTTCAGTAAATAGCTTTTGTAGTCTGCTGGAAGGTGTTATCCGAAGTGTTTCGGCCGTTCATGTAGATAGGTTCCATTGAATTTTACAAAGTATGAAATAAAATACATATGCTTACCTTTGCGAACATTTTCAGGTTTTTTGAGCTATTCTACCATGGAAGCGAATGCTTTTGAGAGGAACCATAAACCTTTATATACCAGAGATTCCGTATGAGAAATCAAATAAGGTGCGTTTAATGAAACTAAAGCGATGTAATGACAAGGACAAAGCAAGATATCTCTCTCCTTGAAGAATAATTAAACAACCCCACCCTTTGCAGTATGGGTATAAAATATTGAAATTTCCGCCTAAGTCTACTTTGTCCAATACCTGATTGGTAAGAATTTGTTATAGAATATTCTGCGACAAAGCATTTCCATAACTACCCTTACTGGTTAAAAGCTAAACAAAAACAAAAACAAACAAAAAAAAAAAAAAAAAAAAAAAAAAAAAACGAATTAAAAATAAGCATAATTTCACAACCTTGATTTGCAAGACAAATTATTCAGTATTTTCCTGTATCATTGACTTTTCCTTTCGTACTCGCATTTTACTTCTCAGATTTTTTATTAACGTAAAACCGCTATCAGTATTATAGTCTAAATTGCTGTAAAATACGATAGATTCTTGCTCTTTAAACTTTGATCAAAGTGTTTAGTGTACTATAATAATCAACTAACGCTCATAACTAGGAAAACATATTGTAACATGCTTTCAGATTCGTAACAGATTGAATTCATAATGGATTGTTCGTAATAGATTGATAATTTTTTTTTTCGAAAACAAACACTTTACAATTATAAAACTTTTCACAAAAGTAATCGCACAGCTCTTCTCAGTATGAAAGAGCACAATCAGTGCTTATCACTTCAAACTACTCTGAACGTTAATCACAAAGCAACATAAAAGGCCTCAGTAGTTCAGAGTTTAATACAAAATTGAAGTCAGAACTAAACAGCTGAGAAGTAATGCTCTCTCCGCTCATGTGCAGTTTTCCCTCAGCTACCAAGAAATTTCAATTTCCTTCGATTTCTCGAAATTGCTGGAAGGCGTGTACAGCTACAGATTCATATAGCAGCTTCGCCCACTCGAGACATTTTACGTTGTATTATACAAGAGAAACTACGATTTTACATATAATTTCCCAACAGTTCTTTACATGTATACAAAATTCTTAACAATACCAATTTATGATGTTAAGGAACGAATACTTACGAAACTTTGAGGCGGATACTTAGCAAGTATCCGCCTCAAAGTTGGCGTGGATATATATATATATATATACATATATTTATATACTTTTGGTGCGGCCGATTGCAACCAAAATGCGAGGTGCACATCTATGTTATACCAGTCCTATATACAAAATTTCAACGTTTCTGAGGCTACTCGTTTTTGAGTTATGCGAGATACGTACATACGTACGTACGCACAGACGCCAGGAAAAATTCTCTTCAGAATTCATTTTAAATCAGTTTTATAATTTTTTTGGGGGGAAAGAGCCCTTTATGCTGTCCTTGAGTACAGATATCATGCAAAAACATCGTTAAATTGCATTCGATAGGGGTGTAGAGTTGCGCGCCTCCAACTTGCATGCAACCAAGAGGTGACTGTTGAAACTGGATAAATGACAGTGTCTTGCTAAGGGTTTAAGTCCCTTTTTATTCAACGTAATAAATTACAAGTGCGTGCTCTTGACGCTCACAAACTACGCCAACTCGGCGGTAAAATAAAAATAAGAACCTGAAAAGAAACTAATAACAAGACTCTAACTACGAGGCTCTCTAAAAGTAACTAACCTCACCGCGTTTTACAATACCGTTGCTAATTCAGCAAACTTTGAAATATCACGTCGAACGATTAACAATTCTTCAAGGCAAGCACACAGGCCGAAACGCGGGGTTCTTCAATTTCTGGCTAACTACCTCCGCGCTCGTGAAGTACGAACAGCACACCTCGAACTCGTTTTTCTATTTAACTCAGAATACTTCCGCTGATAATTTGAATCCTTGCGCGTTCTACTAAAATTTACATACTCTGGCATTGGCAGTTCCAGGGAAAAGTAAGGCTTGACAGAAAATATAGTTTAAACTTAAAATAAATGTTAGTTAATATAAATATAAACCCTACAGGGGTAAAAACGGATATTTGCGTTGAAATATGATGCCTGAAACATTTAGCGATTACAATACTTCCTTTTTACGTGACAAGGAAGTGAAAAAAGACCACCCTATGTTTTCATTAAAATTTTTGAAAAAAACGCGTTACGAACTGAATTAATAACATTTATTGTACCATTAATTTCATTATTTTATGTCAATAAAAATACTTCTTTTTTTTAATGTTTTAGCAATAAAACTATAAGGCCTACCTTTTTATGGCTAGAGCTCCAAGATAAATGAAATATAAATATATATCTTTATTTTAGTTGAAATAGAAATGGGTTGCATATTTAGTCTAATAAAAAATAATTTGTTTTCTTCAATTTCGTTGAGAAGTGTGAAATTGTATTTGCTTTTCAGAATATTTTTAACCTGTGTAAAATATTAGTTGAAGCTATATTCAGATACCGAAAAAATAAAATTCTCTCAAATTTCAGTACAGTAAGTATGATTTTCAGTACAGTACAGTACAGTAAGATTTGTGTAGACCATCTGGTCTACACAAATCTGGCGGACTATGAGGATTTTTCAAGGTATCCTGATGGGCTATAGCTTCAGATTTTCCAAATATTTGATGTTCCACTAATAATTTATTCGTATATATTAAATATTAATTTTCAGTTAAATAGTGTGTACTTTCTACGCTGTCATGAGATACGTTAGGTTATTTACCACAGCAAAGCATTCTAAGAGCTATCTGCTTTAGAAAGGATGACTTCGAGGAAAATTATTTAATGATAACTAATTAGTGTTGTCTATATTCTATATATATGTTGTCTATATTGTATATATATGTGTATATATTGTTGTTATTATATTCAAAACGATAAAAATCAAATGCAGTTAGCCAGTTTAATTACCAAGAACAAAATCCAAGACGAACCACCAGTGTATCGTAATTTTTTCAAGAGTTGAAGAATACGGCATGTTTAGATTCCATCGACGGAAGCGCTTTTCTACTGCACCGTACTGCACAATAGTGCTTTGTTATCACATTTTGTTTTTGCTGACCACAAGCTTACGTCTTGACACACTGTAATTATTCAGGAGGAAGTTTCGATGTCTTTAGTTTCATTATAACAGTAATTACCATTCTTAAAATCGTATACCTTCGTTGTTTATATTCTCGTTTGTAATAGTTATTAAAAATCCCTTTTTGTAGGGTTAGTAGTAATCTATTTAAAACGAAATTTGTTATCAATAAATTATTTACTGCAAAAATATTTTAAATGAAAAAAATAGCTAATTTTTTAAAGATTATCCCCTCTCGCAGATATTTACTTTTGCAACTAATATTTTGTCATTAAAAAGGAACAAAGTTTGTTTATCCTTTAGCTGATTAATTGCATTTTGATACATACACATTTACACATTAAATGGACTTTCACATCTCGTCGCATTTCGAAATAAAAGGTATGTTCTTGCAAATAACGAAAGATTGATACAAAAAGTTTAATGATTGTGTTGACGAAGTGGTATAGTCGAAAGCATGAGAACAAAACTTGCTAAAAATAAATCTAAACCATAAAGGCCTCAATGCCATTTGAAAAGGAATTCAATAGGTGATATGAACTGCATTCTATGCATGTAAGTAACTGCAAGGTCGCGACATTGTCAATGCCATATGTGTTGTAAATCTAGAAAAAAGTTCTATTTCCGGTTTTCGCAGTTTTAAAATCAATAATGACTTTTGATAATTAAACACGACATAAAAAACCGATTGCGAGGAATATAAAAGCTAAGAAGAAGTGTAAGATTTTCATTCTGGAAATAGAAATCACACATTCACCATGATCGCAAAGGTAAGAAAAGATTTAATTTTATAGAAATTAACGTGCATTAATGAAACTTAACTGACTTTTTAACATTAATATAATTTGAAATTTTCTCCATTATGTAATTTTAAATTAATTATAATATATCATCTACCAATAAGTTAGTAATAATAAACATCATTTCATTTTAAAATATTGAACTTATTCTCGAGCTAAGTAATCCAAGAAAGAACACAATGACAATCAAAATGACATTAATTATGAGACGAAAACGCGGTCTACCTTTCTCATAAGATTAATTTTTGTTTTAATATCTGTCAAATATTATTGTTATTTGCAAAACATTACCTCTTTTCTCTGAATTTTCTTACAAAAATCGCAAGATTCTTCGAATTCAGTATCACATTTAAATCAATTTTAAATCATCTTAGTTTGTTAATTTTAATGGTATTTTCACCACATTTTTATCTATTTTATGCTTTGATCACGTGTTTCTTTTCTTATTCATGATATCTGAGTTATTAATGTTACCTCAAACATAGTTAACGGACACCCAACTATATTGTGTGTAAATTATCTTGGAAATTTTAATTGTGTAAGGAAGGTTGAAATTTAAACGTACAAACCAGTATTGGTATTAGCGCTTTTGACAGTTTATATGGATTTAAATTTTCTTAGAATTGTATTAAAACTAATGAAGAAATATGTTCTGATGTGAGGTTTATCACAGTTTCTATATAGCAATCACATTTTATATTTTCTAATAATATTTGTTTTCTAAAATTTAAAATTACATTATCGTTTATTCTATAAATGAGTACTTTAGTGGCAATGATTTTAACATTTGTTGACAAAAATATCACGTATTTTATTATTAAAGTAAGTTTTTCAAGCAGAATGTTAATAAAAATTTTATTTTTAACTTGTAGATTTGAAAATTTATAAATATAAACATTGGCTCGACACAATAAACAAAATCATTTATGCAAGCTTTATTTCATTAAACTGCGAGAAACAACACTTTTACCTTAAATAACGTAACAGCAACATATCTTAAGTAACATAAATAACAAAATTTAAAGAACGTAACATTTTATCTTAAATTATGCAATAGTTTGCAATGAAAGCCAATTTTATGCTTGACAAAGCTATAAAACTGTTCCTGGGAAAATTAAATTCAAGCCAAAATTCATTTACATAATTCTAATCTAAAATCTTATTACTTTTCTCTACGGTTTATTTATATAGAGTTTTTGTGTAATTAAAATTCTTCGATAAACACATTCC